GTCTAGAGAGCACCAGAGGTCAGAAGGAAAGTTGTGGCAATAATTCAGACGAGATCTTGGTGGGTTCTGAGATGCTGGTGGCAGTGGGGATGGTAAGAAAACACAAATGTGTTATGTGGGAGCTAAATTCAATAAAATTTGCTAATATGGGGTGTTGACATGGACAAAAGAGTTAAAGATGATGCTTAGGTGAATTCTTGAGCAACTGGAAAGGTGGTAGTACCACCTGTGGGGAAAAAGAACCTAGCACGAGGTATGGGTAGTCAGAGTTCAGTGTGAGCCATGCAGAACCTAAGATGCCTTTAAGTCATGCTATGTCTTTAAGTCATGTCGGTCTACGGGGAAGCTGGCTCTGTGGGCCTGGAGCTTCCGAGAACTCTCTGGTCTGGAGCTGTGGATCTGGGCCCATCGGCACACGGATGATAATGAAAGCCAAGGGAAGGGTGATGGGTCTGCCCAGGGAGAGGGTGTAGAGTGAGCAGAAGGAGCCTAGCGCAGAGCCTTAAAGAATTCCAGCAGCTACGGGTAGGCAACAAGGGGGAGGCAGCTGCCAAGGAAGCGGAAAAGGACTATGGCATCGAAATGGGAAGAGAAACCAGGATGGTGTCACAACAGAAAAGCCAACAGAAGCAACTGTAGCTAAAAGGAGGAAGGGGTCACGAGCACTGAGTATGCTGAAAATGGAGCGGGAGGACTAAGGTAACTGCTGGGCTAGTGACACGCCTGTCTTGTCTTTGGTGACACGCCTGTCTTTAGTGACAAGATCAGTTTCAGTGCTGGGGGCAGGGTGCAAAGGGCAGGTTGGAGTAGTCTGAGGAGTAAAATTGGGAAATAAGAGAAACTGAGGCAGTGAGTGAGGACAACCAGCTGAAGATGTCTGGCTGTGAACCTGGAGATGAAATATGGGCCAGTAGCTGGATGGTGGGACAAACCTACTCATGTTCAAATGCTGTTTGGGAAGAGCCAGTAGCAGGTGACACTAAAGTCACAGGAGAGGGAGAAGGCACAGATGGAGAATGGAGAAAAGGTCTAGATGCTACCATAAGGCTTTGGACTTCTGGCTTCCATATAAAGTAGGAGGGATTTACTATTTATTAAATAGCCACCTTTTATTAATCCCTTATCATGAACACTTATCAGTTTGTAATTAAATATTTGATTAACGTGTGAATCTGCAGTGAAAAGCACAGTGCTGGCACATAACAGATGCTTAATAAATACCATATATGCCTGAATATAAGGAAATCTTCCATTTTCTGATAAGGTAATTAAAAAAGAAGTTTTTTGGCCAAATTGAATATGAGAGCTTTACCATTGCAGATGAAATACTCAAATGCCTACTTATTGTTAATTACCTATATATTCAAAGCAAATGTAGAAATATCTTGTCTAGTCATACATTTCAGAAAATAGTTTGATCCACATCCATCTTTGACATCGGAGTAATTGACATCATCAGAGTAACTTTTAGTTATTTAACAGCGTTCCAGTCACATCCTATTCTCTCTCTTTGAGGTGCTTGAGAGCTGGCACTTTCTGGATCTGTGCATGATGCTAGAACTTAAAGTCTTATCTCAAGTCCACAATACCCATTCCTAAAACGTCCCTGATTCCCCCACATCTGCTCCTCTTGGAGTCTTCTCTCCAATTCAGAAAAACACCTCCATACATCCAGTCGTTCAGGCCCCAAACCTTCCTCTCCTTCTTGACTCCTCTCGTTTTCACACCTCACCTTCAAACAACACCTGACCACTTCAGCAACCCCACTACTGCTGCACGGTCTCAAGCAGCCTTTCCGTCTCACCCCAATTCCCGCCGCAGCCGCCTCTGGTCTCTGCTTCCACTCTTCCCTCCTCATAGTTCCTTCTCCACACGCAGCCGAAGGATCCTATTTAAACCAAAGCCGGATCTTGTCCCTCAAAACCCTCCAATGCTCCCACCTGACCTCGAGAAAAGCCCAAGTCCTGACAACGCCCCCCAAGACTGCAGGATCTGCCCTGCACACCCCCTGTCGCTGCTCACTGCCTCTTTCATTCAGTCCTCCCCGGCTTCCCCTCGCTGCAGTGCCCCAAGTGTAACACATGCGCTCCCACCTTACGGCCTTTGAACTTGGTTCCCTTTGCGGGGAACGCTCTTCCCCTACATGGTCAGTGGGCTTGTCCCCTCATTTCATTCAGGTCTCAGTTCAAACGTCATTTTCTTGACTTGTTTTGGATGACAAGGGATTTCAAGGACAGCCCCCATGTGTCATGTTAGACCTAGAGGAAACCAAGACACAAATTTCGACTTCCTGACACGTGACCAGAGTCCAGGACTTAACTGATCCTGAGGCAAAGGTGACCTGATGAAGGTGGCGGTAAGAGACGCCTGCTTTCCTGGCTCAGACCATTACTGTCCACAGCAGGAGGGGATGACAGGGGAGAGGGAGAGGCAGGGGTGGAGGAAACTGGAGATACCGGGCTCGGTGTGGGCCCTATTAAATGTAAGGCTCCTATGGGATTGGGATCAGGATCAGAATGCAGAAGCCCGGAAGACAGGCCCAGGAGCTGACACCGCAGCGAGTACCCACAATGCAGCAGGCACCGCGCCAGGGGTCGGCATACGTTGCTCCCTGAATCCCACCATCCTTAAGAGGCAGCTGTTCCTTGAAATGTACGATCAGACGAAAGCAGTATTTCTACATGTTTTAAATAGATATGTAATTAAAAATAAGCAGACATTTGAGTATTTCATCTGCAATGGTAAAAGCTCTTACATTCAATTTGGCCAAAAGATTTTTTTAATTTCCTTACTGGAAAAATGAATGTTTCCTTATATGGATTTACTAAGCATCTGTTATGTGCCAGCACTGTGCTAGGCACATATAAATCAAATATAAATACAAACTGATAAGCAAGGAATTAATACATAGTAGCTATTTAATAATTAGTAAATACCACCTACTTCATAAAGAAACTAGAAGCCAGACAATTATCCCCATATTATTAGAGGGAAACAGGTTCAGAAAGGGGAAGGACTGCCAGATGTCCCAGAGCCAGCAGCAGCATGCAGAACTCACACATGCCCAGGACCTCAGACGTTAACTCGGAGAACCCTTTCTACGGTGTCTCAGCGCTGCTGCTGCGTCATCCGAACAAGCTGCAGCCGCGTGTCTAAAGCCTTGTTTACGGAGCACGGGCACTTCGAGCGTCACCGGAGCTCCCAACTGTGAGGAGTGGGGGTTGTTCTCACTTTCCAGCCAGGACAGGCCCGGGGAGGCCCAGCGGGTGCAGCGTCAGCGCTGAGATCAGAGCAGAGGGGACTCCCCTCGTGACAGACAAGAACTTCCCCTTCCCCTGGAGACTCCGCAGGCCGACTGCAGCAAACAGTGGCTAAATGAAAACAGGCATTACAGCTTACCAGTTGGATAAATTATGAAATTTATTTATATTTCACCTTTTAAAAGCCAGAACATAACAAATTTCACTTTCTGGAAAGTCATCTTAGAAATACATGAAGTGCACTTAATACAAGGAAATCAGTTTCTTGGTACCACCAGTGAGACAGACATGCTCTCAGTTTCCTCAAATGAAGGTTTTGTCAAATTTCCCTCCAAACTTAGACTGAGATGATCTCAATTCAGGGAGGTTTGAGTGAACTTTTTCCAGAAATTACAGTGTAGAAGCTGACCTTAACATCTAGGCCCTCTCCAGCAACAGTACATTAGAAAAAATTATTCTGCCCCCAAAGGGCCCCATCTTTGCTGGTGACTAGGCATCAGCAGCTCTTCCCGGCAGGTGGGGAGAGGCCCACAGCAGCAGTGCTCAGGCCCAAAGCCCCCTTTCCCTTGCAACCTCAGTCACCAACCAGAAGAAATTTCCATTTTCAGACTAGAGAGGTCTGATATGAAAAAACAAACCTAAATCCAGATGCCTTTTTGTGGATCTGAGGTTCTGCTCCTACAAATTAGACTGATACCTCTCAGCCTTTATTTATTAAAATTCAAGAAACATGTTCAACTTCACGCTTCTTAAGCTGTTACCAAAGCAAGTTTCCGGTGGACAGTTTCCATTAACAAGTGCCACCAGCAGACACGTGGTGGCTTCTGAACAGCGCGTCCTGTTAAGAGGAGACCGCAGGCTGTGATGCTGGGCCTTCTACAGCCTCCCTGCTTTGGAAGGCAGGTTTTCATACACTGACCGACACGCTGAAACCAGTTTCATAAGGAAACCATTTGTGATGGAAAAGCAACGCTCAGTTTAAGCTAAGTTACCAAATAAAACAACTAGAATCCACTGGAACCCCCCCCCAGACCTCTTCCTTCTTACTCATTTGAGGACTCCTTTTCATGCTTCAAAGACAAGAATGTAAGCAGCTCCCAAATAGAGAGGTAAACATGACCCCGTCATTGGAAAATACCTCATTAGTTTGAAAATCGGAACCACAAGCTATGGCCCTCCCACCCCACCTCGCACAGCTGACCCTCCTCCTCACTTCTGGATAAATGGAGTTTAACTTTCCTAACCTAGAAACACTTATTTTCACTACAAATATATGGTTACACCTCATCCTAAAAAGGCACCATGCAGGCATTTAAGATTGAACCAGTTAATTCTAAGGGTGTGCAGGAGTGGTAGGAAAATATCACTAATCAAAACTTCCGGCATCAGACCATGCTAAACCCAGACCATTCACCCCAACAGGACTTTCAAAATGTTTCCCAGGAGATAACTCCAGCTTCCGGCAGCTGCCGCCAAGGACCAACTAACAGGAACTTCAACAGCACAGAAGGAGCTCCATCACTGATCAGATGCGTTACTGCCAAAGCCCACACCTCAGGGACAAGGAGGGGAGACGCTTGTCTCATTTGTGCTATTCACGACCCAAAAAAAGGTCCCGGCTGGCTCAGAGGGCCTGAGAGATGAACAGTGGATGGGAGGAACAGTGTGAAACAGGACAGGCGGAGAAGCTGGGTTCTCTTTCAGAAGAGGAGGCAGAAGCTCCAGGAAGTAGCTGAGGAGCAATAAAGACCAGACATAAGACAAACAGGGTTAACAGTAGGGGAAGAGCCCAAAGGAAAGCAGGGTTCTGGCTGGGGACCTGTTTCCCTGTGGGAAGTGGCACTGTCCTAACACCACGGCTCACTTCCAGGTCTGTTGTACATTAAGGTGTATGAGTCACACGTCTCCCGCTTAACATGTAATGGAAGCTCTGGAACATGAGACGGACAGCAGAGACTGGTCACTGGTCGATGATGGAGCGCTGCAACACCTGATTCATCACGTCCTCTTCATCGACATCGTAATCCTAAGGCAAAACACAGACACTGAGCCTCAGCAACCGTCTGCAGCTGCCAAGACTCACTTTCAGTAGAAGCAAGACAGCCGAGCGATGGGCCCTGGAGAGGGCTGCCAGGGCCAGATCCCAGCTCCACGGCTGGCGACACTGGCCATGTAAACTTGGGCAAGTTGCTTTATCTCTCTGTGCCTCATCCTGACCATGAAAATAGCGATGCTCCATCAGACAGGGGTTGTGAGGACCAGAGACACCCCAACAGAGCCTGGCACAGGCCAAGTGCTCAAACTTGGAGTGAAACTAGCCTTTTTAATTCAATGAGGCAAGTTATCTATTTGGGCATTACTTGGGAATTATATTCATCTTTACAGCATTAACAAAAAGGACAGTTATTCTGAAGTCTGAGTTTCAGACACTCTGTTAGACGGAAAATAAATACTCTTTATGGCAACTGAGGAAAAGAGTCACGCTTTCCTTCTCAGGTCCTAAAATACAGCTATTAAGACTGAATACACTCTAAAATCCTACCTTCACACCTATACATGTAAATAAAAGGTTTACTTCAAGCAGTTGGCCACATTTATCTATCACTATAATGCCAAGACAACAGCGTGCCCCTTCAAAACCACTCGGCTCTAGGGAAAGGAGGCAAACCTGGTGAGCACATTTGGCTAGTGGATATGTTTGTTTGACCGTCATGGGGCTGGAGTGGGTGGAGGAGAATGGCAACACAGGGCCTGTATTTCCACACGACCACAATCGGCCGGAGGTGAGGGCAGCATAACATGAGTCACACACCGTCCAGCTTGCAAATCCTTATGAGGACCATTTCCATTACTTGCCTGGTCCCCATGGGCATCTGAGCTTAAGGATCCCAAACCAGGTTCTAGAACAGGTAAAAACTATATATACCAAGAGAAAGTGGGCAAAAATTTTGGGAAAGAAAACAGGAGCAAGCTTTCGCTATGTCTCAGTCTAGATGACCGGACAAGACGACCCACCAGTTCCTCTTCTTAAACACCACACAGCGAAGGCTCTGGCCACTCACCTGGCTCACGAGTACAGAGCGCACAGCTGCTGTCCGGGGAGTCCATCGGGTCAGTGACAAGACTCAACAACGGGGCCCACAGCTCTCCAGGTAAGACAAGGGAGGTGGCTGCGTCGTTCCCCCAGGGGAAGGATCAAGCCCGGGCGCCAGACTCACCACAAAAGTGTCGTAAGAAAACTGGTGCCGGCGCTGGATGTGCTCTAAGAAGTTGGCGCTGCGGTAGTTGGGGTCTCCCCAGGGCATCGAGGCACATATGGGACAAACCTTTTAACAAAGAAGCACGGTCTCAGGCGCCTGACATGTGAGCTGACGTCAGCCCTCTGTGGCCTGCGTCTGGCCTCCCTTCTGCCAGGACAGCTTTCCTGACACACTAGTCCAGTGCCTGGTCACTCCTTCACATGCACCCTCACATCCCAGAAAACACTGTCCGTCTCCTACTCAAGTGAAACGACGTGGAGAGGTGGGTAAGAGCTTAAGCCACGACATCACCCTTGTCTGACCCTCTGCTCTGGTCAGAACAATGTGTCGGCCCAGCAGGGGTCTAGACTAAGGCCTTCCATCCCAGCACACAAAACGATCCAAAAGCACAAAGAGAACCAAGGAAATGACAGATGAGCAATGTTCCAAGGAAGTAAAAACAGAGCCTTATGTGCTATTTTTACAAAGTAAATGCTCAGATGAGGGGGCACAAGCTGAAAAGCCCTCAAAAGAGGTCGATTTGGGCTTTGAAGACTGGGAGGTATTTGGAAAGACAAAGAGAACACGAAAGGGTGCTCCAGAACAGAGGCAGAAGCACGGAGAAAACGCCAGGAGGCACCATGATAGGCAAATAGCCAGAAAGTCAGTTGGACTAGAATGGAAAATTCGCAGAGATGGGCAGAGAGGAGCTGGGGCGGGGGAAAGAAGCAGACATAAGTGGTCCAGCTTGGAGATGAAACCTCATCATTTACAAGGAAGGTAGGGTGACAAACAGGGTTGGCAAGAGATCAGCCTGAAATGGTGGAAGACTCCTAGTGAGGAGCTAGGCAGGCAGCTGCAGCTGTGCAGCTGGAGCACAGGTCAGGACTGGAGACTGAGGCGGCGGCTTCCAAAGGGAAGGGGTGAAATACTGACAGTTAAGGAGTTCCGTAGAGGGAGAGGAGAGAGAGCAGAGGGGCAAGGGCTGAAGGAAGAGAGGCTCCAGCACAGACAAAATAATCAGAGGGATTTCAGGAAGCCAAAGTAGGGGAAAAAAGGAGAATATTCGGTTGCAGTACCAGAAATCACAGAGTAGTTTAGCAGTATCTATCAAAATTATGAGTGCAGTTAACCTTTGACCAAATTAATCCACATCTAAGACTTTATTTTATAGATATATATAAACACAGGCAAAGATATGTTAAAACTCATGGTAGCCTTTTAAAATTTATTATGAAGGGGCCGGCCCCGTGGCGTAGGGGTTAAGTGCGTGCGCTCCACTGCTGGCGGCCCAGGTTCGGATCCCGGGCGCGCACGGAGGCACCGCTTGTCAGGCCACGGTGTGGTGGCGTCCCATATACAGTGGAGGAAGATGGGCACAGATGTTAGCCCAGGGCCAGTCTTCCTCAGCACAAAGAGGAGGATTGGCATGGATGTTAGCTCAGGGATGATCTTCCTCACACACACACAAAAAAATTTATTATGAAAAACTTCAAACCTACAAACAAGCAGATAACAGTTTAAGGAACCATCCCTTATCCCCAACACCTAGGTTTAAGTTTGGCATACTTATTTCAGCAAAAAATGAAGCATTTTAAAATAAGACACATTTTACCCTTAACTATTTCAGTACAGTCCTAAAAATAGATATTTCTCTTTACAAATATAATACCATTATTCCACCTATCAATCAACAATAATTCTTTAGTAGCATTTAATATCCAGTCCTTAATCAAATTTCCTGATACCGTCTGGGACTAACCTTGATGCTCACCAATAAGGGACCAGTTAAATCAAGATACAGACAAGTAATGGAAAACTGTGAAGCTCCTTAAAAAAGAAGCAGATCTACATACATGTACTGATGTGAAACAGATGCCAAAAACATTGGTTACTAAAGTATGTAGAATATGCTGCCATTAGCATAAAAAGGGGGATAAAAAAAGGGACATACGTGATTTTTTTTTTAAATAATTTTTATTTATTTTCCCCCAAAGCCCCACTAGATAGTTGTATGTCATAGCTGCACATCCTTCTAGTTGCTGTATGTGGGACGCGGCCTCAGCATGGCCAGAGAAGCAGTGCATTGGTGCGCACCCGGGATCCGAACCCGGGCCGCCAGTAGCAGAGCGCGCGCACTTAACCACTAAGCCACGGGGCCGGCCCCATACGTGATCTCTTAAGGACATCTGAAAGCTAGAAATTTTTGCATTCTTCCAACACGCAACTGAGCACTACTCAGATGCCAGTGAGCACTCAACACAGGCCATTTCTGATGCTGTAAAGAGAGAACTGGTTTAGGAGGCAGGACACCGGGTGCCAGTACTAGCTCTGCCACTAACTAGCTCTACAACATGGGTAATCCACTTAATTTCTAAAAATGAGTGCAGGAGAGATGGTGGGAGGACGAATTGGAGTTCTCTATCATCTTACTTTACTTCCATTTTAGTTTTCATAATTACCCAAATACTTATCTGGCTAACCTTAAAATGGAAAATGGGTAGTGGGGGCAGGTGGGTGGCATTTGTATGTCCCTATGTCTATGCACAACCACTCTTTCAATTAGTAATTAGTTATTAAGAACCATAATTAAAACGTCTTGAAGACGGAGCTGAGGGCCCGGCCTGGTGGCACAAGCTGTTGGGTGCGTGTGCTCCGCTGCGGCAGCCCACAGTTTGCACGTTGGGATCCCGGGCGCGCACCGACGCACCGCTTGTTAAGCCATGCTGTGGCAGCATCCCATATAAAGTAGGGGAAGATGGGCATGGATGTTAGCTCAGGGCCACTATTCCTCAAGAAAAAAGGGGAGGATTGGCATCGGATGTTAACTCAGGTCTAGTCCTCCTCACAAAAAAAAAAAAAAAAAAGGAGCCGAACACTTGGTTGTTTTTTTTTTTTTTTTAATTTTATTTATTTATTTTTCCCCCAAAGCCCCAGTAGATAGTTGTGTGTCATAGTTGCACACCCTCCTAGTTGCTGTATGTGGGACACGGCCTCAGCATGGCCGGAGAAGCAGTGCGCCAGTGCGCGCCCAGGATTCGAACCCGGGCCGCCAGCAGCGGAGTGCGAGCACTTAACCGCTAGGCCATGGGGCCGGCCCATGAACACCTGGCTTTGTATTTTTCATAGAACATGCCTCTTATCTTACCTAGTGCAGCCAAAGAATAGGTACTGTGCAGCTATTCGGAATCAGGGGAAAAGAAAAATAGCAGGTGCAATGACCATTCCAGGTTGGCATCTGCCTACAGAAATTTCAACAGTCATCTATGTAACAAAGATATAAATGTTACAAAGATGAATATTAGTATCAAATGATGAGGTTGTTTATTTTTGAGTGAGAATCATCAATTCTTTGTGACTGATCTCATGAAAGGCTGGCAGGCCACCATGGTGTGGTGTTTTACTTTTAAATTGGGTTTATTTCTATTATACTACAGTGGCAAGTGGTAACATAATGCAATTAGCATATCCAAACACAGAATAAATTGCAAGAATATAAAGAAATACTGGGAACAACTGATGGTGTACAAGGGAATTAGGGGAAGTTGCCAAAGAGAGACTTTTTACCGACTACATACAAAGGAACAAATTTTAAAAACTACAAAGAGGTGACAGAAAACAAGGACTCAAGACGACCAGCTGGGCCCATGGAGAACGCAATGTCAGCAGGGGTGGAAGCTAGACTCTAGGGGGTAAAGGAGAGGGAGTGGACGAGACAGCAGCAGCTGAAAACCCACACGCCTGAAGGAAAGAGAAACGGAACGCTATCTCGAGACAGCGCTGGGTCAAATACTCCCCCACCAAATCAACAGGGAAGACTTGGGCATGTTTGAAGGAAAACAAGTGCAAGGAGCAGGTAAAAGGAAAAGCTGAAGGTGAGAGAACAAACAACAGGGGAGCCTCAGGAGCAGGAGGAAGCCTTACTGTGCACCAGGCGCTGGTCTCCGTCCTTTGCCTAGATCTGAGGACGTAGGTAGAGAAGAGTCAGACTTGGAAAGGAACCTTTTCTTCAGTATAAGAGGGAATGATAAGAACAAGGAACAAGGGTTGCAAACTCAAATGCTCAAGGATCACAGGCTAGTAATGCGAAAGAGCAAAGCAGGATGGGTGTAAGCCCACCCCATTCAGAGGGGGCAGCAACTACTCAAAGCCTCTTGTCGGAACTTCTAATTTCTCAAATGCAGAGGATCAAGACTGAGAAATCTTCTGATTTTTAAAGGTTAGGGAAATTAAAATGTGTATGGGCCAGACACATCCCACAGGCTGCCAGTCTGTGACCTCAGAGGTTGATCAGAGAGCTCCTGAGACAGAGAAGGAAGAGAGAAGACAGGAATGCACACCTGATACGTTGAACTTAGTTAACAGCAGGATTCAGTGTTCTCTGTGGAAAGGAGGGGACAGTTCAAGCCAGGAACTTCATGCAGAGGGCTCAGAAGAGCCCCTCAGCGTGTGCGTGCCTAGCAGAGCAGGGGCTGGCTGAAAATGGGGCACATAACGTCAAGCCAGCCAGTTGCTCAGTCTGGGGAGTTGGGAAAAGCAGACAGAGGGGATTCATCCGTGGAATCGGCTGCAGCCCCATGTTAAGAGCCCAGGGAGCCCAGTGTTAAAGTGGCTGTACTGACCCAAACTGGGACTTTGCAAGGAGTTCAATAAAGTCAAGAGATGATTCAAGGTATTCTCGAATAGGCCAGTTATATCTTAAGACTTATGATAGAGAAATAAAGAATGCCACCAGGCCTGTGCTATTAGCAAAAGCTCACACAAATCCTAAAGTCTGTGCACAAACTTTTACAGCAATGAAGACTGCCCACAAAACTAGGTACATAGTTCAAGAGAAGTGTGGAAAACTGAAACAAAACTATACAGGAAGTTGTATTAAGACCCAGTCTGTCAATCACATTAAGAGGGAAGGAAGGGGAACACTGCTGAAATAGACCCAATTCAAACATTTTTTTTTTGTGAGGAAGATTGGCCCTGAGCTAACATCTGCCAATCCTTTTTTTTTTGCTGAGGAAGAGTGGCCCTGGGCTAACATCCATGCTCATCTTCCTCCACTTTATATGGGATGCCGCCACAGCATGGCTTGCCAAGCAGTGCGTGGGTGTGCGCCCAGGATCCAAACTGGCAAACCCTGGGCCACCGCAGTGGAGCGCGCGAACTTAACCGCTTGCACCACTGGGCCAGCCCCTCAAACACTTTTTAAAAAAAAAAACTACATATCAGTCTGTGATATTTAAACGAAATGTCAAAGGACTGGTAAGTACTTTCCTAATAATCTAACCTAAATTCTCCTTCCCCACGATTATGAAGAAGCTATTTGCAAGAGGAGAATGGTAGCTTTGAGGAGGAGAAACTTGGTGGACACCAAGGGATCCAAGATAACGAACGTTACCAACGACAGGGCCAACAGACGTCACGTGACCCCTGACGTGGCACCCGGAGGACCCGATGCTTACGGAGCACCCCGGCAGCTAACCACGAAGAAACAGACAAACCCAGATGGAAGGACAGTCTACACAACAACTGGACTGTCCTCTTTAAAAATGTCAGGGTCAGAAAAGCTGAGGACTAAAGAGACAGGACAACTAAATGTAACACACAGATCCAGGATTTGGGAGCAGGGGGAGACTGCTATGAAGGACATTACAACTGTTAAAATTTAAACATGAATTCCACATTAGCTATTAGATTGTATCAATGTTACATTTCCTGAGTGTGACAATTAAATATAAAAAATGTGGTTTTGCAAGAAAATAACCTACTCTTAGGAGATATATGCTGAAGTATTTAGGGGCAAAGGGCCATGATATCTGTCACTTATTCTTGAATGGTTAGCAAAAAATATGTACATAGAGAGTATGGTTAAGCAAATACGGGAAAATGTTATTAATCTGTGAATCTAGGTAAACAGTACATAGGAGTTCACTCTACTGATGCTGTAATTTTTCTATAAGTTGACTTTTTTTCCATAAAAAGTAAAAAAAAACAACTCTTACCACAGATTTGGTGTCCGTGCTATGGGATAACTTGCAGTGTTCCACAAGTCCTTCTTGATCAAAGTTCTTCTCAGGACAGTAAGGGCAAGGAAAGGTGTAACGGTTTGGGACACTCCTGGAAGATGAAAGGCAGGAAGAAAAAAGAAACCTCTCTCTAAGTACCTTTGCACACATCTTCAACCACCGTACCCTCCAAAAAGGAGCAAAGTTCACTGAACGTGTTATGACAGGGATTCTGATGATCACTTCAGAATCAGGTCAATTGTTTTGAAAATAATTAACAGCACAGCTAATATTTGAAGTGAACATCAGAGTTCTTCTCTACACCCTCCCCCCAACGAAAACTGACATCAGCTTTAGCCAGCATAACAATTATATCTCCACTTTCCAAAGCTTGTACAACTATACCCTTGAACAGGCAAAGTGTCCAATGTCTTTGTTGCAAAAGATGACCTCCACCTAAGGGAGTGACTGAGTCACTTACCTTGGCTGAAGGGATGCATCCTTGGTGGTGGCCTTCACACCTTCCATGATGTAATTCTGGTACTTTGAACAAGTAGCCACGTGGGCCCGGATCTTGGACAGGAAGAACTTACATAGGAAGAATCAGAGCCCACAAGTTAGTCAGGACCTTGTTCCAGGTCCAACCTAGTCCCAAAGCAAGGGCAAGATGACAACTAGACCTATTCCGCCCCGGCAGACATCTCACCCGACTCCTGGCTATGCTGATCGGGCTGAAACCCTGACTGCTGCAGGGTTTCTGTTAATACCAACACTGACGTTTTACTTGATCAAATTAGGACATCTGCTTCCACTCTAAAAGAACTCTCCTAGAGGTTTGTTTTAGCCACAATATGCTCTCTGCTCTCAGACACATTACAAACCCAGTGAAGTTTTTAAAGTTTTCCACACTAGCATTTAAACTAGTCTCCTTACAGCAAGCCAAGAACCACACTGCATTATGTGCAGCAGAGAAAAGTGATCATTTACGTAAAAAGGATAAAAGCTAGTAATCCTAGTTAAAAGTACAAATTGCCAGACTGCGATAAATGATCTTAAAAAAACCTGAAATCTGAATTCTATTTCTCCCATAAAATCTAGTCTTTGCAAGATGGAAAGAGAAAAGAAAACCCAGAGAAGACTGTTTCATCACAGGTGTTCCAAAAAGAAACGAAAGTGTAAGGAGTGAAGAAAAAGGGGAGGTAGAGGGAAGACAAACATTTTTGGAAGTATAACATACCTGGAGGTATAATGCAATACAATCACTAATCCTTAAAATGGAGTAAATCAAAAGTATACAGAAAAAAGCCAAAAAATCCCATCATGCATGCATAAGACGAAGGTTAACAGGAAATTTGTTTCAATATCTTGAGTTTCTAAGTTAAAGAAAACTGCAAGGAAATAAAAAGCTTCAATATTTGAGCTCTGGCTTACTATGCTTCTTTCTGTCTTACTTTCAGCTAAAGAACTTGACTTCAAGCTGCCAACCAAAGAGCTCGAAATTGAAAGGGGCGGGAAATAGCCCTATTCAGAGCTGTAGCCACTGTGTACCCCTAGCACTAAACCACTTCAAAAGGAAGGAGACGGTAAGGTCTATCTGTTCTTTGGCTCTCCATCTTAAGGTGTTAAAGTAATGAAACTGTCATGCAAGGCTGTCCAATGAGTCACTGGGTGAAAAAAAGTTGTAGAACTAGGTATTATAGTATGACACATGCTATTTTGTAAAAATCTGACATCTGTGTTTGTAAAAACCCTACATCTGTGTTTGTCAAAGGGCAGAAAATGTTTTGCAGCCTTCTAAATTGAACCTCATTCATTCATTCATTTAGTGAGAAAGACTGGCCCTGAGCTAACATCTGTTGCCCACCTTCCTCTTTTTGCTTGAGGAAGATTGGCCCCGAACTAACATCTGTGCCAATATTCCTCTATTTTGTATGTGGGTCACCGCCACAGTATGGCTTGATGAGTGGTGTAGGTCTACACCCAGGATCCGAACCCACAACCCTGGGCCGCCAAAGAGGAGTGCACCGAACTTAACCACTAGGCCACGGGGCTTGACTCTAGAACCACTTTTAAAGAGGTAATCTCTGCAGAGGAGAACAAGCCTACATTATTTTACATTTTTGTATTGTCTGGAATTAACAAAATCATAATTTTAAAGCCAATAAGTTTACGTCTATCTCTTGGAAGATAAGACATGAGTATTTCTCCTTTCCAGTCATAAGAGACGTTAAAATAAATATACTTGACTCTAACATGATTATATAAAAAAGCATGGATGCATCTCAAACGTTAGGTATTGCTATTATATATAATCAAATGACTTCATATTGACCTTTGTATCATGATTCCTCCCTGTCAAGTGCTAAAAAAGTGAAAAATTAAACTGTATACCTGTAATGATATAGATTAGAAAATTTACCCTCAAACTCATCGCAGCAGATAACTTTGAGTCACTGAATTCATTTTATATTTTAAACAATTAAGAAATATCACTGTCATTATATTCTAATTAAAATTGGGCATAATGCTTTGGGAAAATGAGTGTTTTATAGGAAAAAAATGGGATAACTGATTTCTATGGCTTTCAAAGGTAAAATATGTAATATACTAAACCAACTCTTTAAAAAAAACAACAATAACCAATAAGGTTACCAAAATGGAACAGCACAGCCATTGTCACAGATGCCTGGCATGCACACATGCTGTTAGTCACCTAGTCATGCTCTAACTTCAGAAACAACATGGCAACAGCTCGACATTTTACCCCATCTCATCACAGAAAGACACTGACTCCTCCATCTTACTTCCACATACATTTTTATGGCAGCCATGGCAAGAAGTCTCTGTGCTCTCAATCTGCAGCTCGAGCTCCACGGCTGGGATGCCAGGTGCCAGAGGGCTGCGACACACCCCACAGACAGGTTTCTTCGGCTTCAGACATTCCTGCAGGCATGCAGAGCAAAAGCTAGAACAAGACACACAGAGAACCTGCATCATGCATTGTGGAGACAGGACAACAAAAATGGATCAACTTTTAAAAAGACATCAACGAATAATGGATTAAAAACAACTTGTTCCCTACCCCCGATTCAAATACTGAGTCCTCCTAAGCCAGAAAAATGGAGACGGGGGGTTCCCCTGCAAGGAACACACAGGTCCAGCAACAGAAACACACACACTACCATGATACATGGTGAAAGGTCATGGTGCAGTCTTCAAACCTCAGCCCCTGCCCCTGAGAGATCTTGGTGGGGTTTCCTGAACCTCGGTGTCTCCTCTGCGGAATGGAGACAGTAGTACATACCTATAGGATTGTGGGTAGGATGGAATACGTACAGTAAGCCCACAGTACAATGTCTAGCACATATGAAATGCACTGCAAACAGGAGCTGCTATCATTAGAGGTGAATGCAAAGCACTATGGGAACACAAAGACAAGAGCAACTAGGTGTGACCCGAGAAGAACAGGGCTGGTGAGACTGAGAGGCGGCATCCACAGAAGAGCCTCAAAAGAAGGAGTTCAACTAGCAGAGGAAGGGAAGAATATTCCAGCCCTTAGACTTAAAAATTCACAATGTATCTGAGGAAATAAAAGTCTAACACTTTTCCTCATAAGCAGGAGGGACCCACATGTTTGAAGCAAGGTATCAACAAGACCAAATCCAAGTTTTAGAAAAATGACTCCGGGGTCACCATGGACAATAGAGTTGTTGGTTTTTAAATTTTTTTTAGGTGAGGAAAGACGAGAAGAGACTTGAAGTACAAACCAAATAGATGGCTAAAGGCAAGGGATTGTGAGGGCCTTACTGAGGCAACAGAGAATTAATTCAGGAAATGATTCAGAGGTGGCATCAGCAGGACTTGGTCACTTACTGAATTTGAAGAAGAAAAGAGGGAAAGTCAAAGACGACCAAGTTCTATCCTGAAGCCTAGGCAGGGGGTGGTGCTGAGATACAGTACACAGAAAGAATGGGTAATAAGGCATGAAAATACCCCGGCTACATACCCAACCTGATAGATTTAAGGCAGGATAACAAAATCCGCCAGGAAGAACTCAGGATACATAATCAAAAGTAATCTGCACATTCGACAACTTTTTACTGTTTCTAAGAACGTTATTCTTCTTTGTCATTAAGCTAGATGTTAATGCTGCCAGGCAAAATTCTAGACCAGTCTGGGAGAAGGTGAGGGGTTCTACTCATTCACCACTGAGGGCGCAGTGGTGAACTAAACAAAGTCCCTGTCCTTATGATGCTGATATTCCGGGGTGGAAAAAACACAATTGTGAATTTCAGATAGTGATTAAGTATATGAAGGAAATAAAACAAGGCAAAGAGATCAGCTCTCTTTGTAGATCACAGAAAGCTTCTTCAAGGAGGTAATATTTGAGATGAGACCTAAATTATGAGGAGAGAACCACACAGACCTGGACACAGAGTTCCATACAGAGATGACACCAAGTCAAGGGGGTGGGAAAGGCAGAAAGGAAGGCCTTTGGGGCCATGACGTGGTAGACCATGGGGAGAGGGTAGGCGATGAGGTTGGAGAGGCAGACAGGCCTTGTAGTCATCACTTGCCATACCTCTTCTCAAGGGCAGATCACAAGATAAACCCAAGAGAGCACACAGGGCCCAGAGAGGATAATGAAACCAAACCCAGCCTGTAGATAAAAGCAGCTCTAAGCCTCCCTTCAAGGACACACCCAGATACAGCTCATCGATCAAATGTTCAAGAGACACTTTGTGCCTGAGTCACGCCCAATGAACGAGCCCGCTTTTAAACGGTCCCTATATCTTGGGCTGGCTTTCAGTTTCCATTTTCCATTTATGGGCCTTTTTCTAGTTCAGCCTTCTAGATGCTCCACCTTTCCTGTTATGTAGAAAGTCCCTTCTCTTGGGCACCCAGCCACCTGCCCTTCTCTAGCTGTAGTCCACTAGATTGGAGAGGGATGTGTCATTCAGGGCTTGAAATAAATTTTATAAAAACCCAATGCCCCAGCCACAGCTGCAGTGATGTTCAAGTTTCCAAGCACAAAAGTTAGCAAAAATCACCTAGGCAGAGCAAAAAGCACCTGGCTGGAGCTAACGGAGACTCATGCTACCCTCACAGAAGTGCAGCCATGTGTCTTCAATCAACAGTGAACTAATGAACACACGCAACTAGTATGGTGAGTCTAGAAAAGAGCCAAGGTGAATCCCAGTACTGCCCCTTGACCTTTGACCTAGGAAAAGTTCATCTGGCACAAGGAAACCTCAAATTTTTTGCTTTTCAGTTGGTAAATTGTGCTAGGTCAAGTCTCTTTATAAATGTTAACTGTAAAGGAAACCCATTGAGTTAACTCAAAATTAGGTAAAGGTAATAAGGAGGGCTGATCCAAGGCAAAGAGGACTCAATGAGAAAGCTACCTAGACTCCACTTGCACTCTCCCGAAGTCTGCTTCCTCCACTAATTTCTTAGTTCATTCATCCATTACCTGATCACTCTTGCACCCACACACACAGGTCTGACCCTTATAATACCCTCCCACTGCACAAGGAATTTTCACAATAGCTTGAACATCTGTTAGTACTCACTTATCAATCCACCGGCTTGTGGACTCTGAGGGCAGAACCACCTTGTTTCCTACTGTGTGCCAAGAATCTGGCACATAGTGGGCATACAAAGATTTTAGTGGGCTGAATATAAGAGCGGAAGACGGATGCTCAGACACTGTGCTGGGCCCTGCGATACAAAGAGGGGCAAAACGGATATGGTCACCACCCTCGTGATCCCTAAGTTTTGCTCTGTGCAAGGAAGAAGGAAGCCCAGGAGAGAAGGAGAGAGATAATTTAAATGGGGATGGTGATAGGGAAGTAACTTAAACCGGGACTTGAAGTCAGAAAAGGATGTGGGGTAGTGGCGGGGGAGGTGCAAACCGGGCGGGACGAGTTCCAGGCTAACTGAACAGCAAGCAGGAACAGCCTGAGGCTAGAAACAGCTTCGCGTACTTGAAGAAGCAAGAAAGCAGCGAGTGCGGCTGAAGAGCCCTTGCCAGATGCCAACTGTTCTCTGGGCTGGCACACGGACGCCTACAGTCCATCCTGGGACTGCTGTAGAAATAACAAGGCCCGTGAGGGCCCAACAGGTGCCTAGTGTGCCTGCCGCCCAGTAAAGGGGTCCTAAGACCAACGCCAAGGAGATGCCCACGACAGCACTGAGGGAGGCCACAGAAGAAATGCCAACTGCAAGCGGCAAGAAGCAGGTGACTACATTTTCTGTAATTCTTCCCACTTGGGTGTGTCTGTGTGTCTGATGGAGCAAGGATTCGATTCAAATCCGGCCAACTTCTAAGCACCTACGCCAGCCCAGGGCCTGTCCTGACATTTGCGCACACATCTTTAGTCATCACAACCAGCCTATCAGCAATACGCAGGCCACGAAGGCTTAATTTCAAAAAGAAAGAAACAAACCTCGTACACAAGCGAGTAGGAGTGCTAACAATCCCCATCTGCCAACTCCCACCCCTTTCAGTTCAGGACGGACTGGTCAGCTCTCTACCGAGACTTCCCTTTTGTCCTTTCCACCTAGTTCAGCGTTTCTCCAACTTGAGTGCCCATTAGAATTACCTGGCAGAGCTGGATACGTGACGCCACACGTACTCTACGTCAGGGACGATGGACAGACTCTCAGGGGAGACTGTGGCTCTCCAAGGGCAGACTTGAGACCCTGCCTAGACCCCAGCAGGGTGCGCCTCCACCGTCACCGGCGAGAAGGGCAGACAGGCCGCCGGGAACACGGCAGGCGCTCAACGGAAGGGCGGGGGGCCAACTTCCACGGGCCTTCGGGGGCCCCGCTAGGCCGGTCCTGTCGCTCCCGCCCCCAGACCCTCCCTGCCGGGGCCTCGCTCTTGCGCTCCATTCCCTCCCGGTGTGGCGCCCCCCGACCAGGCCCCGACTCGCCGCTTACACGTGTCCGCAGGGCACCTGCACCGGCTTCTCGTACACCTCCAAGCACACGGGACACGTGAAGCGGCCCAGCGGGTCGGCCTCCGCCGCGGGTCCCGCCAGCTGCGCACCACCCTCACACTCCTCCAGCCGCGCCGCCATCTTGCTGTCGCGGAGCTCGGCGCAACGGCGGCCGACAAGGAGGAGCCCGAGGGGGCGGGGCCGAGCGCGCGAGGGGCGGGGCCCGCGGCCACAGGGGCGGTGAGGCGCGCTGGGGGCGTGGCTTATGGAGCGTGCGCCCGGCTGGGGGCGGGGCTACTGGAAATGCCGAAGGAAATCCGGAAAATGTGGAAGCTAGATCCAGAGACTGGCAGAATTGGAATGGGCTTTGTGCTTCAGCCAGTTTGCAAAATTTAAACTGTTATGCTGTTACTTAATATTTACTTATGCACTATTACTTAATATTTCTCTTCAAATAGAGTTGCTCTTTCTTTAAACTTAAGCAAACAAATTTTAAAGGGAGATCTGATATCACTCCTGAGATACAAATAGAAAATCAGTATCACATTTCTATAAGGGCAGTGTAAAAATACAATGGAAACAAAACAATGTTATTAATTCTTGCTGGGTACTATTGACGCTGGAAAGGGAGATTAGCCATTATTGGAGAAGTGTTGCAGACAGGCTGTCACCACACTGAGACTTCCTAGTGAAAGCAGAAGGAATGGGAAACACATCTCCCGCAGTGAGTCAACGTTATTTAACATTGTGTTCACATGTCTCCTGGCAATGGGGTCCAGCTCCTGTTCTGTGCAGATGGGAAGGTGAGGCTTGAAGAGACAGAATAAACCTCAACCTCACAAGAAAGGAGTGAACCTAGAACCCAGATGTTTTGAATCCCAACTTTCTCCACGTTCTACTGCACAAGATGCATCTTTTTAAACGGAAGGCTCTGCTAACAATGCTACATGGTTTTCTCAACCAGAAATGATCAATTAAACTTCCATCCTGAAAGGCCACAAAGGCCTCACAGTAACGAGTTTACACAGGACAAATAAATGGTGTTTGTTAAGCCAGGTTAATTGAATGGAAACTTGCGCCTCCCTTGTCCCATTCCCAGTTCTCTGGATTGATTTTGCTGGACCTGGCGGCAGCAGGAGGATTATTTTTAGCTGTCCACGTGGGCATCTTTTCACCGAGGAATGACTTGGCATGTAGGCAACAGCCCCAGAGGGCCAATGCTTACACTTCACCGTTTCTTTTTCCTGTTTCTAGCCAGGCACCTGTGCATCTGAGCTCTTCCCAGCCAGAGGTGCGCTGTCTCCCCTCCGCGGATGGGGGTGCCATGGCAGGGGCAGAGGTGTGCTGTGGGTATTTACAAGCCTTTACATTGGCCTTGTCGCTGCTGCCCGAGGCTGTGAGTGTGGGCGGGGGCAGGGGAGCCCCAGACCTGGGCTTCAAATCCACTGTGCCTCCAGTTTGGGCTCTTGAAATGAACTTTCCATGAGCTTATACACTTAGTCACAGAGACAAGAGGACAGGGTTGAAATAATATTAATAGTGAACTCTTTTTCTGCTTATTATTCTAAGCACTACACGTGAATAAATCCTCACAGCAACCTATGACTTAGGTTCTTTTATTATCCCCATTTTATAGCTACGCACATTGAAGCACAGAGAGACTAAATTATCTTTTTTTAAAAAAATTATTTTATTGAAGTCATATTGGCTTATAACATTGTGTAAATTTCAGGTGTACATTATTATATATCAGTTTCTATACAGACTGCATCGTGCTCACCACCAATAGTGTAGTTTTTATGTGTCACCATATATATGTACCACTAATCTGTTCTTATCCATGTATTTATCTTCCACTTATGAGTGAAATCATAACAGTGTTTGTCTTTCTCTATCTGGCTTATTTCACTTAGCGTAACACCCTCAAGGTCCATCTATGTTGTCACAAATGGCACGATTTTCTTTTTTTATGGCTGAGTAGCATTCCATTGTATATATATACCACATCTTCTTTATCCACTCACTCATTGATGGGACACTTGGGTTGCTTCCAGTCTCGGCTATTGTGAATAATGCTGCAATGAACATAGGAGTTCATAAGTCTCTTTGAATTGCTGATTTAAATTACCTTTTAACACAGATGGGAAATGAGAGTCAGGATTTGAACCCACGCAGTCCGGCTTTGGGACCTGTGCACTTGATGGCCTGTGCAACACAGTCTCCTGGAAGGCTTCTCAGAACACCAATTGCCACAGCCGACCCCAGAGTTTCTGATTCAGCAGGTGGTGGGGCTGAGGTGTGGCTGAGGACTTGCATTTCTTTTTTTTTTTTTATTGAGGTTTTTTTTTTTTGAGGTAACACTGGTTTATAACATTATATAAATTTCAGGTGTACATCATTATATTTCGATTTCTGTGTAGATTACATCATGTTCACCACCCAAAGACTAACTACCATCCATCACCATGCACATGTGGGAATCACCCCTTTTGCCCTCCTCCCTCCCCCCTTCCGCTCTGGTAACCACCAATCCAGTCTCTGTCTCTATGCGTTTGTTTGTTGTTGTTTTCATCTTCTATTTATGAGTGAGATCATTCGGTGTTTGACTTTCTCCCTCTGACTTATTTCGCTTAGCATAATACCCTCAAGGTCCATCCATGTTGTTGCGAGTGGCAAGACTCCATCTTTTTTATAGCTGAGTAGTATTCCATTGTGTATATATACCACATCTTCTTTATCCATTTGTCCCTTGATGGGCACTTAGGTTTCTTCCAAGTCTTGGCTATTGTGAATAACGCTGCAATGAACACAGGGGTGCATGTATCTTTACACATTCATGTTTTCATATTTTTTGGATAAATACCAAGCAGTGGAATAGCTAGATCGTATGTTCTATTCTTAATTTTTTGAGGAATCTCCATACTGTTTTCCATAGCGGCTACACCAGTTTGTGCTCCCACCAGCAGTGTATGCGAGTTCCCTTCTCTCCACAGAGGATTTGCATTTCTTTTTTTTTTTTTTTTTAAAGATTTTATTTATTTATTTTTTCCCCAAAGCCCCAGTAGATAGTTGTCTGTCATAGCTGCACATCCTTCTAGTTGCCGTATGTGGGACGCGGCCTCAGCATGGCTGGAGGAGCGGTGCGTCGGTGCGCACCCGGGATCCGAACCCCGGGCCGCCGGCAGCAGAGCGCGCGCACTTAACCACTAAGCCACGGGGCCGGCCCAGGATTTGCATTTCTAACAGTTTTCCAGGTGAGGCTGATGCTGCTGGACCAGGGGCCGTACTTTGAGAACCAGTAGCCTGTACCATCCTCCCTAGCCCCATCAAGTCTGAGGCTAGACTGAATGTGCTCCATCCCTTCCTGTTTTTCCTAGGCATTCCCAGTGAAAATGTCCCCGCTGTCCCTTCCCTAGCTTGCAAATATATTGCCAGCCCTTCCTCCTCCCCACACTCATACTTGCTGTTTTTCAACAATCAACCTAATAATGTGTGTCAAATGAATGAACCTTTCTCTTCTCATTTCCCCTTAATGTTCTTGAGGAAAATATTTCCCAAATAGTCTCTTCCTCTCCTTTAGTTGTTGGCAGCCTCTCTCAGGTTGCCCACATCACCTAAGATCCTCTTGGGGTTCTGATGTGAGCCTGGAGTGGGGAATAGGTCCTGCTCAGAGGCTTCACAAACTTGATTTTTACTGCCAAGGGACTTGTTCATTCAGGCAACAGAGTCTCTATGGGCCTACTGTGTGCCAGGCACTCTGCAGGGTGCCAGGATACAACATGAGGAAGAAAGACATGGTCTCTAGTAGGCAGTGATGTAGGTGGGTGGGGACAGATGATTTAAAAAGTTATTCAACTAAATAATGATCCTAAGGAAAACTGCAGGGAGATCTGCTCTAGTGTGAGGTGATCTGGTCATGCCATGCCCACATGCCTCATCCACAGAAACTGTGCGATAATCTATGTGTGTTGTTTAAGCTGCAAGTTTGTGGTCATTTGTTACGCACTAACAGATAACCAATACAATTTCCTTAGTGGACAATTTGCCTACAATTATCAGTTACGGGAGCACATACCCTTTGATTTACCTTTTCTATTTTTAGGACTTTATCCCATAGACCTGTACCATCTAATACTGTGGCTATTTAAACTTAAATGAATTAAAAAACAAAACTAAAAATTCAATTCCTCAGTTTCGCTGGACATATTTCTAGTGCTCAAGAGCCAAGTGTAGCTAATGGCTACGTATTGGACACAGCAGATAGAGAACATTTCCGTCATCGAAGAAAGTTCTGTGGACAGTGCTGCTATGGACCTACTCGTGTAGCGGGAAAAACCCGGGACCCTGTCACCGTAGCCGAATCAATGAACACAGTGACCTGGGATCGAGGAAAAGAAAAATGGTTTAATTTTGCCAGCAAAAGGAGGCTGCAGTGGGCTCATGCCCCAAAATCCGCAGTCCTCCTGAGGCATTAGGAGTTGGGGTTTTTAAAGGAAAGTCTGTGGGAAAGAATGTATCCTTGGTGACTGTGATTATTCGTTGGAGGAGGGATCCCAGCCCCCTGGCGCCAAGCCGGCTCTTGTCTCTATCTACAGCAGGAGGTCTAGGGCTCCATCAACCAATCTTCTCGCATCACCCAAAATTTGGCCTTGGGGAGTGGACGGCTTTGCAGTTCGGCGTCCTCCCATCAGCCTGCGTTTAGCGGAGTTAGGGGAGCTGCAGGTGTCCTCTGTCTGTCCCTGTGATGATGGTGGATTCGGCTCCAGGAACCAGGAGTTGGGACGCTTCAGCTTCTTGATAATTTCGAGATCTCAGTCTCCCTGGAACAAACCTCAAGAACTGGTCATTAGCCAGAGTTTCAGTTTGTAGCCACCTGGGCTTTTAATAATTTATTACCTCCACTTGCCTTGTGGAATTTAGGGACGCCAAGGGTAAATATCGACGTGTGAATGTAACGTAGAGAAGCAGGGAAGGGGGAGTGAGTGCTTTTTTGTTTTAACCCCATCTATGCTGGGTTCAAAGCAGGGGAACAGATGTCAGGGCCGGCATCACTCACACCTGTGGGAAAGATATGTACACACAGATGTCCAGGACAGCGCTGGTCACAGTGGCAACGTGGTTAAATAAATACAATAGATATAATTACTGGTATATCAACTCCATG